CAAACTAATTTCTACGCTCAAATTTCTGAATACTAGGTACTGAGCGCATAGAACCTTGTTATTCTGGGATGACATCGGTGTGCAATCACGCACTCGTTACAATAATCACGTCTATTCGAGACAAATACAATTTTTGTTTCCCCTAAAGCAAGACAAATAAACAAGCTGTAATAGGATATCAATAACTCCATGTGCTCAAACATTAAATAGCGCCTGATTCTACCTCGTCGCGATATATTACTTAATTTTAGCTTGATTCCAGTACCGCGTCGCGATACATTACTTAATTTTAGCTTGATCCATTACTTAATTTTAGCTTGATTCCAGTACCGTGTCGCGATACATTTCTTAATTTTAGCTTGATTCTAGTACCGCGTCGCGATACATTGCTTAATTTTAACTTGATTCCACCTTGTTGTTTTTCGTCTACAGAGGATGGCTGCCTGACACCCTTCGAGGGTGTTGTACAAACATACACGAGCGCACAACTACAAAGGAAAAATAGTCATGTCTTTGATATCGAACAGAGAAGGTAAGGAAAAAACAGCACAACTATAAGTAAAATAAACCTCTTCACTGCTAAACAAAACACAAAACATTTGCTATCAAAACTAAGTAATCCCTGTTTTCTTCTTCCTATCCATCTTACCCCCCCCCTCCCCAACACGAACGCACACACACACATACACACACACACACTCACACACACGCACACACACACTAACCACAAAAACACAGAGACAAATACACATGCACGCACATTCACACACACGCACAAACACATACGTACGCACGCACACTCACGCTCTCATACACACAGGCAGATATGCGACTTTCAAAGTCACACATGCCTACACACCCGCTTTCTCTTTTTTCACCCTCCCCCTCCCAACTATCCCGATCTGTCTCTCTTTCCCTCTCTGACTCTATCTTTATCCCTCTCTGTCTCCCTCTCTCTCTCTCTCTCTCTCTCTCTCTCTCTCTCTCTCTCTCTCTCTCTCTCTCTCTCTCTCCAACTCTCTCGCTCTCTCACTTCTTCTGTATATCTGTATGTATAATAATATTATGTATCTGTTTATTCTCAACCCTCCCCCCCCCAACTACCTCTCGTCCATACTAATACATACAAAAATGCATACATTCACACTCAAACATACACTCACGCACACACATATAAACACAAAATTAATTATATAAGCTCTACATGTTCATACGCATACAAATACACATACTCCCACACACACAGAAACACTTATATTCATATCGCGCATGCATGTGCACACACACACATATTATGCATCTACCCCCCCCC